AGAGACATCTAAAGATTTTACAGCAACATTTAATATATTACCAAATCTGGCAGTTTTATCAAGTTTATAGGGCTTGAAAATCCTACTTAGCTGTTAAAAGCAGTGAGGTGGAAGGGGGTTCCCATCCACAATGTCTAATTGCACTTCCAGGATGCCTTCCAAGGCTCCTGTTCCTCCACAACGGTCTGCCAGTCAAGTCTGAGAAATAATCCATCCAACCCTTTTTAAAAAGTTATCATTTCTGTAACTGAAAGATAAATTACCCATAAACAACTTCCACACTAAAACAGCCCATGATGGCCTAAGCCTTCTGTGACAAGAAAGCTCCACCACACTCGAGGCTGCTCACAGAGCAGATACAGAAGGCTCAAGCCAAAGCCTTTGCAGTGCCCTTTCCCCTCTCTGCCACTCTGCGAAGTGAGCTTGAGTTGTTCCCAATCTGATGTGCTCTCTGAACATGCTCACCACGAGTCACATGAGATCTTTAAATAGATTCTTTTCCTATATCTATGCATGGCAGTGCTGTATATCTCCTCTTTGGCTATTATTTAGATGTTTTTGGCAACCACTTTAGCTAAAACAAATATAAGAGCAGTAAATTATGTTACTAGAAACATAAATGCATTGCCAGTGAAAAATAGAAAAATGCATCAACAGAGATTCTACATTAAAATAAACCTGAAAATTAGAATAGGTCTACAAACTGAGTTCTCTTTAAAAAAAGATCTGTCAGCAGTCACTTTGTTTAAATAAATTAATAGTAGATTCCTACTACTGGATAACAGGAGGGATATAACTCTTAAAACAAGCAGAAGGCTAAAAAGTGCTGTGATATATTTTGAGAATAAGCAAAATATAGACTCATGTTTTTTAAAGTATGCAGTGGAAAACTATTCTACCGGTCACCTTTTCAGCTGTAAATACTATCTTTTTCCACTTCATTCTTAATTCTTTCCACATGTGTCAGTAACATTACATGCATACGGTGAAACTCTTTGATAGTGGTGTGCTACTCTGTTCTAACTCCTACAACACAGAATTATTTCAAGCCACTATTAATATGAGGTATGTCCTTTATATTTTCATATATCTTTCTGTTGAGTGAAAAAATTGATGTAGCGAAACTGCTAACAAGCTGAGCCTTTGAAACCATGGGCAGGTGATGAAAGCCACCTCATGTCTCAACCATCCCCAGGTCACAGCTGTCACACTCACTGCAATTCATTGCTGTCACAATCTGCTGTCCCTGCTTGTTGCTGCGCTCCTCTTATTCATCCAACTCATATATCTAAGCATTCCATTACAGAAAGACATCTAATGTTCGCCTCCTATTTGAGAGGGCACAACACCCTTCTGAAACACAGTTCTGAAGATTTTAGAGCATCAAATTAATTGCCAAATCTAACGTGCTGTTTTTGAAGGCTTCTCTTATAATTTTGTCTTTGTCTCATCTCCTGAGTATAGCAGGATCAGATGTTCGCTTAGTTCATGATCTCAGCTTTATTCCGACTTCTTATCATGAAGAAATGAAATATTGCCCAGTAATAGAAAGGCATTTGAAGCTTCGGAAGTTTAAAGATAACGACACTAACTGTGAACTCAGTGAATTGGAAGGGAAGGTCAGCAAGTCATCCAGGGTGGCACTGTTCACAAAGTCAGCTCTTCTGGCCAGTGAACCAAGATGCTTATAATCTGAAGACTTGGATTTTATGGGACTTAATTTTGTTCTCAGTTACTTAATTTAAATAGCATTACTATGGATTTAGTTTTTAGAGTAGAAATTTCTCATAGGTCTTCCAACTTCAAGCAGTGTTAAATTTATAACAGAACATCTTGCACTCTAATTTCAAATGTGCACTGTCATTTCAGATTATAACTATGAATTCAAAGATGACAGATTCATAGTTCTTTTAAAACAGAATTTTTTTCTTGTGAAAAAAATTGGCACAAAGTAAAAATATTTAATGAAAATTAGAGTTAAAAGAATGAGCCAGAAGATAATGAAAACAAAACCAAAACCCCTAAAAATGTAGCAATAAAAGGAAGATATAATTATCGTAACAAATACTCTTATGATTTTAACTATACTATTTATCCATACCTATAAAAATAGACAAAAAGACATATGACATTCTCCCTTACATCTATTTGCTAAATTTTTTTTTACTTGTAGTGTAATTTATTATCCATAATCTTTACGTTGCCAGTAGAAGGTTCAAGTAATATGCTCATAGTAGACAGTTTGCTTCTCTACCCCTCAGTACAGTTATTTCAATAGATACAAAATTCACAGCCTCTAACTGTTCCTAGTGAGGACAGATAAAATGATAATGACATTACACCAGCTACCCTGGGAAGAAAATCTCCAAGAATGACCTCATGCTTTTACATTGCAGAGGTTTCTGATCATATTCATCTGCCACAGAGAAGAGAAGACATAAACCTAGAGATATATCACACAACAAAGAGACTGAAGGAAAAAGTAGGAAAATATATGCAATTCATTTACATTATAACTGAATCAAAAATATTAGATAGTTTTGAAATCTTCACCCTAGGTTAGAATGAAACTTCCTTTACAACCAGGTAAGCTATAAGAATTTGCAATTAAGGAACTCTAGGATACAAAAAATGCTAAGTAAAATACTCTGTTATAGTGCTGCCTATCATTGAAATATAGAAAACAGACAACATTACAGCAGATGTTTTAGCTGATTAAAGGAACTGTTGGTTTTAAGGACAAGGAAGTCTCACCTCATGTATCTGGATACCCTAGATGATAATAAACAATACACACAGCTACATGGTGAAAATCTCCCTTTCAAAGTCCCACACATTTAAAACTGTTAGAAAGGTGTAGATTAGACAAGTGCTGATTAAGCGATAGCTTCTAGGGTCCAGCAAGGATACCATAATACAGTGACATTTAAAAACATGCCAAGCCCATTTGCCACAGCTCCCTTTTCATGAAAGCAAGCCTTTTTTCAAACATATATATACATGTATATGTATATATAGCCTAGGAGATACTTATAGTCCAAATGATCTTAATACTTTGACACAAAGATTAAGGGTTACAGCAGGGTGGGCTGGGTGTTCAAAATACTAGTAAAGATCAAATTCTGTTCTCTTACATACTTCCAGATAAATAAATAAATAGTTCTTAGATGATAAAAGACAGAGAAGATATTAAGAACAGTGAAAACAAAGTTTTGTTATGATAATAATTCATAATTCTCAAGTGTCATTGAGTGTGTGCTCAATCTCAATCTCTGCTTTTTACATACTTATGTAAAACCAGTGGTCAGTGTCCCAATTAAGAAAATAAATTTAGAATGAAATACAGCATGACTTATGTTCCAGAGAACAACTTCAGTATTTATAATTCTTACCAAATATTGCTCAAGTGAAAACAGAAAACAAAAAGTATAGAAACCACCATGCTATCAGACAATCAGCTAGCAGCAGAGTATATATACTTTGAGATTTAAGATTTGAGCAAGATTTGAGGATGGACATTAGGGATGGAATCTAGTCTAGTCAACATAGCAGTACTCCTTCTAAAAATAACGCTTTAATTCTCTGTTTAGTCAAAGATAGGAGAGGGGTGCTGCAAATGAAAAGCTGAATGTAAAAATGAAAGTACTTTAATTAGGTCATTGGAGCTCATGTTTTTATCCTCATAGAGACACAGACTTGTTGACTTTCATTTGAATGGTTCTTTATGATTTGGCTTGTCTGGTTACCGGGAACGAAGACAGGATTATAAGCATTTTCAACAACTCAGTACTAACTCAGATTTCTTCACTATGCGTATTCACCAGAGCTGCAGTAACTGTAGCTCTTGTTGAAGGACCAACAGATTTTATGTTTACATACATTTTGTTGAACGGATTGTCTCAAGGGGCAGAATTCCAGCATAGCCATAACATAGAAAATAACCTTGTCWTGACCTATAACAGAATTCAAGCCTCTCTGGGAATCCAAATCCAGTGTTTGACCTCTCAGTGAAAAAGGGTTTTCTTATGCTCAGACTGAACTTCCTGTTTTCATTTGTGCCTATTGCATCTTGTGAGTCATTCAAGAGCAAAGCTATTAATGGCAAGTTTAAGAGAAGATAACCAATAGGTTTGTGTACTTACTACATCTCATTTATTAGTATTAAAAAAAAAAATAAAAAAAAAAGAAAAAAGCCAAGAGGTAAAATGTAATTGCATGAATAAATGTCAAATCTAGTCATAAATATAAATATTCATATTAATACTACTAATAATTGTGATACAGGACATATATATTTATAATGAAACAGATCTTCTCCAGTCTTCAAAGAAAATTCCATGCCTCTGCTAAACACCTCTAATAGCAGCTCTAATTGAGTCTGGAGAAAGAGGATGCTATTCTTATAGGCAGCACACAAAACCTAAGACAGGTAGATATTTGTTTACTGAGATTTCTTTACAGTGTTACAATTCTGGCCTGAAGACTATTGGGTCTCTTCTGTGTACCTTTGCTCTGTCTGTCCCAGGGCCCATCAATTCAGCTTCCACCAAGGCAAAGTACCTACCTCTTCAGTCTTCTTCAGATCTCTTGAAGCATTTCAGTTTGAATGCTTGGCTTCCCACACAGAAGTGCAGACTTTAGATTGGTCTCTCTTAGTTTAACAAGGGAATAATTTCTTCCTTGCTTTCTTGAGAAACATGCAATTAGATGACCAGCTACAAATTAGGAGAATTCAGCATCAAAGCTTTATATTCTGCATGAAAAAGACTTCAGCTTGAGCACTGATATATTATTGATTAAGACGGGGACAGGAAAAAGAAGGTGACTCTAGGCATCAGTAACCTACTGTGTTCCCAGCACTACAAAGGTTGGGTTTCTCATCCCTACTGAGAAACTTTACAATTTATCTGATACATCTGACAGAAAACATCTGATAGACATTCACCATCTTTACAGCACTTACGACAGTTGCTAGTACATATATATACATACAGATTTACCTTAATAACAGATGTCTCCACTCGGGATGGAGGACTCTGCACTTGTGCTGCTGCTGCCATGTTGGCAATGGTACTCAGGTGATTCATCTGGCTCATGGCCATCGTGACCGAGGCTGGAGGTAGGCTCACGGGAATTAGTGGGTGGGGCATCATCATAAAAGGAAGCTCCAGTCCTGGAATTTTGGGGGAAAAAAAAAAAAAAAAAAAGTTTATATATTTACTTTTTCCCCTTGTTGAACAACATTCAAGTGATGGGCAACAAGACACTTTAGGATAAAGCATCTAGGTAGAAACTTCTTTCTGTGGAAATGCYGAGTGTTCATGGAGGATTTTTACACAGAAGGAGAGACTACTAGGCCTCTCGGTTTGCTCATATCTGTGTAATGTTTCATTGCTCATAAATTCCTATTTATTGTCTTTTTTGATAATTTTGTATGGCGCCTTAGTGATGGATTATTCTACCCCAGTGCACAGGTTAACAGCTACTTTAAATATCAATTTTATTGCACAATATGTATTTCTTCTTTACTGCCTCTGCTGCCCCTGCTTAATACCTTAAAGAAGTTCTGCAGTATTTCCCACATCTTTGATTTTGCATAGCCTATCCATGTAAAGCAGGTCCAAATAAAGAGAGCATTTGGAAAACTACTGAAGCTAGTGCTGAAAGATGCCAACTTGTACCATTTGGCAGAAGGCGGTTCTACTGCAGAAGGCTGGGGGAGTGGCTAACTAGATACTTCTACTGTCCATGCCAGCTGGGATTGTTAACAGAGGTCTACAATCTCTTGGTGAAGGGAAACTAAAGCTTTTCTTTATCTCAAGTATCACCACTGCTACATGGGAGGCATGAATATATACGAAGGAAGACTCCAAATTTTCCGTGTTTGAATTTGCAATAAGGCCAGCAATTTAAACCTTTCTTGAAAGTGGACTTTTTTTGTTTTGGAATATGCAGATTGTGTGAATGGCATTTTTTTTTTTTTTTTGTTTCCACACTTTCAAAAAGATAGGTAAAGATAAAATGTTCATTTTCCATTAGAAAACAAATTCAAAAAAATCTATTGTTGTCTTCATTACTGTGAGGTATGTATCTGATATATTACTGGTTTTATACATACTTATAATTTTTAGGAAATAAGACTACATACGCTATTTTATACTTAAGTGAAGATTTTTCACTAAAAATGTCTAAAAAATATCATCTATATGCCAATTAACATTTAAACTATGTTCACATCTCTTCTTGTATTTGCATATGAAAACAAATTAAAGAAGCAACCAAATATTTAATTTATTGAGGGCACCAACATACATGCCTATATGCTTGGTTGACATATTTCTATGATGTATATTTGTTTCATATTATTAATTAAAATGTAAGAAATTATTAATTTAACCAGTCTTCCGCTAGTGGAACTGACTAACAGAAAGAAAGATTGTGAACAAATACGTGTTGAGATGAGCAATAGATTTGAAAAATATTTTTTCCACTATTGCAGATCTAATTTAAAAAAACACAGAATTAAACTACAGTATATATTTTGAAGAACAATAAAAAAAACATATAAAGCTATATATAATGAAAGTGTAAAATGTTCTGAAGACTTAAATTATTCATACTACATATTACTGTCTAGAGCTGGAAGTGAATATATGCATGTGTACACATACAAGAAACATACACGGAGTGCATGAGTCTGTATATTTACCATATACAATCAATAAATAATGTTTGAATATCTACATAAAATATCTATATTTACATGGATTCTCTGTAGTAACAATATATGACTGCTTCCTTTTATATACAGAGTACAATTTCACCCTCCTGACTTTGAAAGTTTCCTCCGTTTTCAGGGGAATTCCTCTTGATAAGGATTTCAAGATGACAACAGTCAGGACCGATTTAATCTATACTCGGTTTGTATGTAGCATCAGGGATTACAGTGAAACATATTTCTGAACATTTTTAAGATACTTTTTACTTCCTAATGAACAACAGGGCCTGAAAAACAGCAGGACTAATACCATCTCCTGCTTACTTTGGTATAAACTGGATTAGCACATTAGTCTTGACATTTTTAAACACCATTTCCATGGCATGACAAAAGCACAAAAGTTGGTAGAATTCCAATTTAATTTCTCTAGATCTATTAAAAAGTTGATTGTAAAAGCTGTACAACATAGTTTATAATGAAAAATACACCATTATTGCCATGATTTTTTTTCCCCAGTTACTTCATGAAGACAGTTAAAGCTCAATATAAATTCTAACTCATTAGCTCAATACTGTTTCAATCCCAGTGTAAATTGTTCGGAAGTAGGTAATGAAAATTCAGTCCAAACTCTCCTGCAATCAAACAAAGCAATTTTATGAAACAATGAAAAGAATCAATTATACAAGAGACTTTTATTATTTTACAAGTTCTCACAACCTTTACACAATCCATATAGCTCAGCTGGTTAATGATTTGAATTTCATCCCYTCTGATAAGTTTTCTTGCATGTTGAGAAGTCAGAGACTCACAGAAAAACATGAACTTCCAAATAAAATCACTGAAGGAAATGAATATTAGCTGGAACTTTTTTTCCTTCTGCTTTTCCTTACTGTAACTGTTTATTGCCTCTGTGATATGCACATTTTGTTTCTATTGAATTCTTATACATCAAAACATGTAACTGAAGAAGAAAAGCAAGCACAAAAAGTGGGATCATCTCACTTAACTTTACCCAGAGGTAAGTGATGATGCAGACAGAGATTGAATATAAAAAGAAACGGTAGTTCTCAAGGATCATTCACCTCATCTTAAGCTACATGTGTATTAAAAAAATAAAGCCTTTTTAATACCATTTAGAGATTGATTAAAAAGAATCACCCCCAAAACATTTCCATGCAATATAAAATACTAGACCAGAATAAGTCCTATTTTAAGTTCTGTATTCATTAAGAAAAGTTTACTTTGTTCTGGCAGTTCTTGCATCAGGGCACATACTGTTTGTCCAGGTTGCTCTAATTTCTTGCTGGATCTGTTCCTGTCTGTCCCGCTATAGCTAAAATGAAGCCAGAACAGACCTGGTGTACTGAGTATTTTAATGAAAACCTGATTATGCCTCAATTCAGATGAAGTCAGCACTGCCTGGTGATCAGGCAATGTCTGTATCTGAATGAAATGAAGATGGAATGGCCACAAGAAACAAAAGAACCGACTGATCTCTGGGAAYGCCATCGTACTCAGTAACTGCAGGAGAAGATTGTACCAATGGTTWAGATTTAGACCAATTCTTAAGCAGGATGGATCTAGACCAAATGTCTTGTTTTTTGCTAAAAATCTTCACACTCCCCTGAAATTTCTTTTTTTTTTTTTTGGACATCATTTAAAAGTCATCATTTAAAAATATTTTTCCTGCTTTCCTATCAAAATAAGTCAACACTCTTATATATTATATGTAAGGACATACAATATACATGACTAAATGCAAGAATATTGGCTAGTTTAATAATCAAGGAAGAATTCTACATTTGACAAATATGGACAAATTTCCCTGTAATAAGTTATTTTCCCTGTTTATTAGCTACAGCATCTACAGTACAGTTAATTTCATGTTACACACCGCTGTTTGATAGGATGGTCGAGTCAATCCTATTGYAACTTTTCTTAACATGGTAACAAAATTTTGCACGGTCGGTCACAGATTGCGAATTATGGCACTCATCACGTGGCTCAGAGTCATGGCAGAAATTAGATCTTTTCTTAAATCAGGCCCTCTTTTCTTCTGCCTCAAAAATGACAGTGGCCGTTGTTTTAGAATGATAACAAAACCAACAATAAATCAGAATAGAGAAGACAAGCTTCAGAGAGAGCTAGTGGTTAGTCAGTGACAGATTCTTTAATACTTGTAGTCTGGCATCGTCTGTCAAGATTTGTTTACAACGAAAATGATTCATGGGCAGAATCCAATCCATAACATTAGAAGCCACTTTCAAACTACAGTTTGCTGCACTCCCAACCACTTTAAGTGGACAGACATAGATACAAATAGTCTTGGCCATTTGCTGTGTTTTCCTTAGGTTAGTTAAGCCTAACAATTTTCCTCTTAGAGGAAACAGTTATTTTCATTAATGTCAAAGTGAAGTAAGTGTTATTCCTTAGACACTACGCACCGTCTGCACAACTAAGTGCAAGCTACTGGTTCTGTCACTTTTTACATTTGATTTTGATTTAACGCATACAGGTTTCAAAGAGTATTAAAAATCTGTTGCCTTCTTCCTCTTCACTTGTTGCCCTGCTGGAGGCTTATGTTTTTCCAGTTTCCATCAGTGGTTGTCAGGTCTTTGTAATAGGATTAAAAGCTTGGACACCTGATATCCCTGGGTGCTGCAGTTCACCCTCATAAAAGCTGTTTGCTTTAAATTGAGAGAAAATCAGTTTTTAGTGGCATAATTAATTAAATTATGCAAAGTGTTCCAGATTCAGCATAACACTTTCTGAAGCAGCAATTGGAGGCACTATATTGCATTCAAATTGCATTTCAATTGATGCTGCACTAGGCTGACCATAGAGTATCATTCTCAAGGATTTCCAACACAAGGGATCCAATTTTGAAATGCAGATTCTTCATGATAAGTGCCCAAGCCCCACACATAAGCATACAAATAGGCAATTTGGTGGCCAACTAGGTATTTCATGTGCTATAGTGCTAATAGGAACATTCAAAAACGTGAAATCAAAGTTCCAAATGTTAGTAAACGTGTTTAAAAACTGAGTTCAGAATGTCTCCCATTTATTCATCATGGACAATCGAACRGAGTAAAATGGCAATGCATTTTCATAATTTGAAAGACTGCTATAGCACTGTAGCACTTCCCTCCTAACCAGCATTTCAGCACATATCTTCCATAATGTGAGTTACTTTCTCCCATAACGAGTGCTTATACAACAAACCATTATTTATACAGTGAAGTGGGTCTGTAAAAGCCTGATGTCTGGATTATTTGTATTCATTAGTAGCACAATTAGGTAGCTAAGGATGGTTATAATACGTGAAAATAATTCTGGACTGGAAGGTAATGTGGCCAAGAAAAGGAAAATGAAGCAGAAAACTACCCTGTATACTATGAGCCTTGCAAACAAACTCTGATCTAAACATAGCAGATTCATTTTTAGGATCACAT